GATTACATTTGGATTCTCACTAAACGTGACTTTACAGCTCCTATTCTTCCAGAAGCCGCACAAAATAGAAAGCTTCTAAACAGTTTTGCTGTTCTTGTCTGCGAAATCCAGCGCAGCAGTGGTTGGGTTATAAACCCAGCAGCAGAACACTTTTGTTTTTAGAAGAAATACTGGAAATATTTGTAGTACTCCTAGGTTTTGTAATGATCCTTTTATGATATGATCATTATTGAATAAGTACTCTGGGGTGGAGGATGGCTTTGGTTCCTGTGCCTGGTGGCTATCAGATGATGCATGTCTCCAGCGCTGTGGTGTGAGCAGGTCAGAACTGGTGAGGATGGAGAATCTAGACTCCTGCATGCAAAAAACACCCCACCCCAGAACCAAAGCTGAGCAGCACACCCAGGTCTTTAGCAGCTTTCAGATCAGTGCTGAGATGTGAGCAAATGCTGAATAAACAGCCCTAAATGGTTTTGGGTGCTGGAGATAAGCCCCTTTGGAAAAGAGCAGGAGAAGGCAGCTGAGCGGCCATAGGGATGGACATTCATTTCCATCCAGGAAACAGCTATGAATGTCCATACCCCAGCTATGGAATGTATTTGAAATGTAAAAGTGTTTTTAAATCATCACTCGCAACTGAGCATCTTGCCAAGTTGCTTGTCCTGGAAACATCTGTAGCCCGGTTGATAAGGTGCTGGTGCAGATTATATTAGATATAATCTGTGGTTCAGGAGCATATAGATGTACAGATGTCTTGCCTTAAACGGACACTTGTCGTCTGGGATCTCCTACCCAGCAGAACTAATAGTATTAAACAGCAGCAAATGTTCTTGGGAGGATATATTTGCTTCCTGGAGGTGGGTGGGATTTCGAGGTGGTAAAATAAGCCCTTGTGGCACTCGGCATCTTCTCAGACCCATGCAAACGTAAACTCATGTATGGATCTGCAAAACCAGTCCTGCCTAGAAGGCAAGACGAAAGGCTCAGTTTTCCATATGGAGAGACACAAAGAGAAATGAAGCAACTTTCCTGCTTGATGTCAGCAGAGGCAGGGGAGTGAGTAGGACGGATGGAAGTACCTCTTTGACGAACCCATTGATTGAACTGTCCATTACAGCCTTACCCAAATCCACGCTGCATATTGAAATATTCTGAGAAGTTTCACTCTTCCTTTAATAGTGTATTCTTTTTACCTTCAGATAAGCTGTTTTCTGGTTCCTAGCTGCAAAGAAGCTGCTGACCTCCAGTTATATTTTTCCAGAGGAAAAGATTAACTTTTACACTGTTACACTGTGGTCAGGTTTGGTTTTTGAGTTAATGCTGGTACATGCATGTGCATCGGAAAAGCAGGGAAGACATATCTGAATTACAGAAACTTGAATTACTCCAAGTGCAATTCTTCAAAAGCCTCTGGACAGCTGTGCTTTGCAAGCCACAAACTCACCCAAACTTCGCTTCAGCCCAAACGGGAGAGAGACAAAATGCAAAGGATGTAGAGGTCAGAATAGGTTCCAGCATTAACCTCCAGCTCTTGGGTGAGTGCATTCAGAAATAGCTTGTATTGTATTAATTGGAAAACATATATATGTATGCATATATAATATATACATATATATATATTTAAAAATGTGGTTAGCATCCCTGTCAGTGGTCTCGCAGTTTTATTTGCCCAGCAGTGTAGGTGTGTGCCCTGGATACCTGCCATCGCACACACTAATCTGAGCATGTGAGAGGACCTGGAGAAAAGGGATGGTATTTTTACACCCTCTTCTAGGTAAAGCCCATGAGTAGCTTAGCTGACCCCATTGGACCCAACACAGCCTTGTCTGGGAAAGGGAGGAGCGGAGCCACGAGCATCCTGCCCTTCCACACTCCCTGGACAAAGCCCTGGTGCCAATGGGGTTTGGGGCACTGTTATTTTCGGGAGTCAAAGCTGAGCAGGCAAAGGCAGAGGGATGTTTATTTCCTCTTAACAGGTCAGAAATGCATCTTCAGTGCGTGTCCAATTGAGCTTCTCATAAGGTGTGTACAAGCACAGGGGTATATATACGGGCAGTGTTGTAAAAAACTTAAGCAAGTGGTTGGTATCTGTTGTATATACATTTTTTTTTGTGTGACTATGATGCCATTCGTATTGGAATAGATGAAGTTTGAACAAAATAACCATTCTGTCTACTCCTGTTCATTTTACTGCTCTTTACCATCAGTCATCTTGTGTGCACCCAATGGAGAAGGAAGAGAGACCTATACGCGGTATGTGAAATCGTGCCTTCAACATACATTAGGACTGCTGGAAGTCGCAGCTTTATTTCACGAGGTGCACAGATTCCCCCATCTTATGCAGAATCCCACCAGTGAGACATGCAGGCCATGTTTCTGAATACTTGAAGTACCATTTGTTATGCAATTATTTGGCTTCACCCTTTTATTAGCTGGGGGAAGAAGAATGGCGCATCCCTCCCTTTGGATGAGCCGAACCGATCCTTGTTCCAGCTCCTGCAGTATTTTACAGGAAAGTTTTAGGATCTGTTTTTATTTCAGGTGTATACCTACTAGAGTCACTTTTCTTAAGATCTTACTTTGATATGGGCTTTCCATTTAGTGCTTTCCTTTGGCTTCCTTTTATATTCCTCTTCATCATTCACTTAGAAGAAAAGCAACAGCTTCCTGTAATTAATTGTGAATTTCTAGCCTGCCTCTTGGACACAGAGGTACCTAACTCCCATGCCTGAGAGGTGAACTGGTGTTCAGAATTCCCACATTATAAAGCACTGACTTTTGCAGATAGCAAACCTGGTATTATGTGTATTCGATGCACATATCTTTGCTCGTTTTCATCACCAGAATTAGGAGAACTGGACAGTAAATCAGAGCTCTAGCTGCAAAGTATGAGCACACTTTTGGTGTTAGAAAAAGTCCGTTTTCAACAAAAGCCTTGAAATTCCTGCTGAAGCTGCCTTATTTAAAAATCAGTTTATTTGTAAGACTCATCTCCTTTTATTTCAAGTTTTGAAATAGTTTATTTAACCTCATCTCACAAAGCTGTGAAGTAATACTGTAGACATGGTACTATTTATTCTTGTTGCTGAAAGCATGTTCATGTGTTCTGTATCATGTTATATTCACGTGTTTTGTACCTCAATGCATTTGTGGGGTTTGTTTTTTCTTTCAGAGCACAAAGCAAAACTGAATCCCAGGATAACTGTAGTGTCCATAGCCCAGCATCTTTGGGCAGACAAACCTCAGCTCTAGGAGACAGGTGAACCAGACTAGTCTATTGCAGTTTTTGGTTTGTACTATAAGGAGTATTTATGATTTATAGTATGTATTTATGGTTATTTTTTGGTTAAAATACTGAACTTTAAAAAACTCTGAGTAGAAGAATCCAGTCAAACATATCTTTAATGTGAAGCGCACAAAAAACGCCGAGCTCTACAAATACCCCATCCTTCTTGGTATTTTCTATTTTGTCAGCTGATGGACTGGAGAAGGTTTGGGTTTCAAATGAATTGTTATAGTACTTTCTGGGGTGAGCTTTTGGGTACAGAGCCTAGGTTCAGTTTTGTCCTTTGTGCAAGTAACTGTGCATTAGAATAATCACAACGAAGTCTTTTACCTCCCATTTATGGTGTGGAAAGTGTTTCTCGGTGTACTGCACTGCATGTGATTGATAGCTGTCTCCATGGTTGACATTTGCACTTTAATAAACTCGGAGATGAAAAGAGGCAAAAGCAACAAATCCTTAAAACTCGCTTTTTGTACAGCCCCTTTTTGGCTTGGCTGGTAGTTTCCCTCTGGAGATGATGCTCCCAGCACATTTGATCTGCGGGACCATGGACGTCCCCAGGCCTTGGGAGGGGCAAAGGGGCAGGAAAGGGAATTAAAATACATACATGAATAACATAAACAGGTTCCCCAACCCAAAATACACACCAGGAGCCAGACCCAAAGGTTTTCTACTGTATTAACGTGCATCCAGCAGAGCTGATGGACCTGTGCTGACTCCAATCTCGACTCCTTATGCAGAAGCATGGAGAGAAGCATTTTAAAGGTACTGTGCAAAAATAGCCTCTCATTGCAGGAAAGGTGCTTGGGGGAGAATTTTTGGACTTAGTTCCTATATACTTGTGATGCAGTGGGATGTAAATACAGTTAAAGCACTGGATCTCTAGTGAGTGCTCCAGTTCCATCCCTATCCACACTCTCCTTTTACGCCATTTGTGTGAGACAGAATTGGCTTCTAAGAAATTTCAGTTCTCCCTCAGATTCAGCAAGTCACAACTGTTATCATGGTGATTTCCATTTTGAGAAGAAACAGAGAGGAAGAGCGTTTTAAATTCATATGAGAATCATTTTAAGTTCTGATGTGTTAAGGATGCACCAGCAAGGCTATAAAAGAAAAAAAGGAAGAGTTTAATTTCCTGACCGGTATCTTATAATCTTAGTATAGCCAGCCTGTGGTTTAATTGAGGAAATCTTAGTTGCTATATGTAAAGCAGTTTTGTATTGTCTTGAGTCATCCCATACCAAGCGCTTTCCTTCTGTGCATGCATTAGACTCTGTCCATGGAGGAAAAGAGTTTTACATGCATTGCAAAGCGTCCTCACATTGAGTCAGCTGCCAGCGCTAGTGCAGAGGTTTGTGTTTTGCATCTAGTTGGGTTGCAGCCCCACAAGGACTGTGCGTAATTGCAGGGGGAGCGGGGCCCGGTCACGTATATCACAGGATATATGGGGAGGTTTCTCTTTAATTAGTTTAATTTAGAAAAGAAAATCTTAAGTAATTTCCTTAGGAGACAAAAAAGAACTTGCACATGTGGCCAATACAAGATTTGCCTGTAGCTCTTGCAGAGCGTGTGATTAATAGACTTCAAGAGCTGTGGGATGGGGAGGAGGATGAGGAAGGAGTCAAGGAAGGGAGGTGTTTTCTTCACAGGATCAATCCTAAACATGCCATGGAAAAAAAGCATCCCCCCAGGTAAACTGTCTCCACAACTTCCATCCTCCATACAACTCCCAGCAAAGGTGAAGGACACAGAGCACGTCCCAGCCTGCTCTGAAGCCAAACACGCACTTCAGCTCCCCAAACTCTCCATCTCCTCTAGAGAAGTCTAAATATTTGGGCTGGCAAGGCTGCAAAGCTGCGCATGCTTACAGGGGCTTGCTCTATTTATTTTCTTATTGCAAGGATGGATGCAGGCCAATGCACTTAATAGTAACCACATGGTAAAATAAATAAGAATGCCTGTATAGACTTAAAAGTAAATGTTCAATATTTGCTCTGGGTTTTTTTTTTCCTGATGGCTTCTATGCCAGCTTTGAAATGGCCGTATGGCAAACAGCGCTTTTATTTTGCTGTGTTTCCTTAAGCCTGGAACATTTAATAATTTCTAATTAAACCAGCTACAATTTTAGGATATTTATGAGCAAACTGAGGGGCTCTTACAATGCGCTGGGGAGGGGCAAAAGATGTACACTAAGGTCATGTTTATGGGTTTTTTTTTCCTCCAAAGTCATGTAAAAACCCCTATCCACGTTCTTCTGCTTCAGAGAAGGTACCCACTGGATACACTGAGGAGAAGCCATTAGCAATTTATATTTCCCTTCCTACAGTCAGGAGCATTTTACTTTAAATAAGCAATCATCCTCCAGCCCCATGGCAGAGAAGAGCCCGAACACAGGGGCAACTGTTGGGTAACTGCCTGCTGCTGTGAGGCGGTGGGAGCCAGAAGTCAGCCTTTACATATCTGGGATGCCAAAGTTAGCTTACAAAAATAAAGTAAATTTGGACTGAATGCTTTATTTACTCTTTTTTCATGTTTTTTGGAGAGAAATGAGTCAAGTTTTCCTCCATTCTGTATATTTAACACAGCACGAGTGGTGTGGTACATACTTCTTGTCCCAGTACTTTTGTCAAGACCAAAGCCAGTTCAAATTTATATGGTTTGTTTGTTAAAGAGCAAATCTTTGGGGAATTCTTGCAATTCTAACACCTAAACTAGAGAGTAACAATATAGAGCAGGTAAACTGCAAATGTAGGTATGTTACGGCTATTTCAGAGCAGACCAACAAGGTATACCAAAAAGTGGGAACTACAGAACATAACTAATGTTGAAATAATCTGTGAAGACGTGCTCTAAATAACAGACAAAAGAGGAAAATCTCTTGTGCATTAAGCAGTGTAAAAGTGTAAAAAATAAAGCTTTATTTACACGTGCATCACCACTCCACAGGTGATCAATGTGGGGTCTCATGGACACAGGAAGCACAGAGAGACCTTCAGGGATGCTCCTGGGAGAGCAGCTCTCAGTTAGCAGTATCTGTCTCAAGAAAAAAGGCAGTTTCACAGCAGTGGGCACCTGGGCAATACAGGAGGTTCATTTGTACCAATTATGCATGAGCATGCAAGGAAATGATACTGCAGCAGGGAATTTAAGGGTGTGTTTTGGCAAGGCGATGCACACCAAGTGGCCCATGTTTGCAGCAGATGTGGGTTAATATGGCATATCTGAAGGCAAGTCAAGAATCTCCAATTTAGAAAAGTCATGACTGGATGGGTTTTTTTTTAGATGCAGTTGGACCCAGCAAACCAGCAGCCTAAAACTGGAAATACTTCTTTAATATTTAATACTGGCTGTTTACATTAACCTTCCCCTGCCTTCAGAAGTTTAAAGTACATTTCCCCAGCTCTCAGATATCTATACACAGGAAGGAGAAGAAAATATGCATCATAATAAATAAAATCTGAGTTTACCTGAAGTTCAAGTGCTCCACTAGAACATACCCGTCTGAGAAGGGGGGAAAGAGAAGTAAATTAGTAAACTCCTGAGCAAATAAAGTCACAGTGGCTAAGCACAAAGACTGTACTGTTGCTTGTGAAGCTTATTTGCCCCTCAAACCAGGACTGCAGTGACCACCCCTGCCAGAGGCTCACATCTTAAGAGCTTACATCTGCCCTCCGAATTGCGGCAAATCACTGCATTGCCCTCCGTGACATCGATAACGTCCAGCTGTTCTCCAGCTGTGACCGGGAGATCAGCTCTTCTCTGACTGGGGACCGAGCACTCAGCAGTGGCAGTGCTGATGACATTGATCTCCTTATCATACTGCAGAAAAGAAATACAACCACAAGTTACTATACACTCAGTCAATCTCCTTAAGGGTGGTGGGGAGGGATGGAGAAAAGACTTTCCAGGATGGGTTGTGAGGCTTTGGGGTTGAACGGGGAGAAAACCCCAGCAACATTCCTGAGGAAGATCCCAGATTAGAGGAGAAGGTGACCAGTCAGTGGGACATCTCTCCCAGCATAGATAAGGACCAGCTTTCCACCATGCATCTTTTAAGCATGAGATGTAGCTGCTTTCCTCCTCTGACACTATTGGCTCTCTAAAAAGACACATACCATAAATGTTTCTCGAAAAGACTTCTCTTCTTTTCCCATCTTCTTGCTTTTTTCTGCACTGCTTTTCTTGACTTTGAAGATATTTCTGTATCAAGAGAAACACACACACACACTATTCAGCTCCATCTAAATAACCACTGGCACACTGGGAAATGAAATCCAGAGCCCAACAACTCCAGCCGTGTCTGCAATGAACTCTTGGAAGAGCAAAGCACACCATTCACATTGCTGGTTTTCAGGAGAGGATGAACACACCACTCGGATCTGTTGGCGAGCAGAACTTGAGCCATTTTGTATCTCCATTTGGAATAACTGTTTGCTCTATAAGCAGTGTGGGAACAAACAATCAAGTGTTTCAAATCAAACGTATTTTTATGGAAGACAACAATTCACTTTTCCCCCAGCAGTTTGTCTCCTTCTGGTTTTATTTATATCCAAACATAAAGGGTTCCCCGATAACTCCCCTCCTAAGTCATTTATGGAAGCAGGGCTTGATACAGCTCTCCAGATTTGTGTTGCGTTTTTAGCACATGGAGGAGAAAGTCACCCAAGCAGACATTTATATGGCATGGTAAAGTGAAAAACAAGCTCTTATAACCAGCTTAAAGGGAGCAATTGCCATTCATGCTAAGGCATTCCCTGGGCATGGACATGCCGCTCTTTCTGGTTTGTACATGAACTTCCAGCTATGACATTCATTTTAAAACTAAGAGAAAAAAAGAACCCCGATCAACCAAACAAAACCCACCAAGTTACAACAAATCAGTCCCCTTTGGCTAGCCTTCACGCACTTAAAATGAAGAGGAGGGGAAACAAGAGCTGAAATTAGGAACTTTTAGGGTGTGAAGAGATTTCTCCTTGGTAAGCTCAGCCTGCAGGTCCTGCCACCTTTAAGGAGTGGATGAAAATGCATTGACTTCCTGATAGTCTGCAAAATCATACACATGACTGTGCACAACAGAAGTGGTGTTTGTACCCCATGGAGGAGCTCTGTGGTAAGAACCTGGACAACAGAGCTCTGATTTGCATTTGCTTGAAGTCCCAGGTATTGGGTCATGAAAAAGCTCATTGCAAATACCTATTTTTTTCTGATTTAAAAGGGAAATGACACCTCCTATTTCCATGCACATTTTTTTTCTCAGCACTGGTAAGAAAAGGTTGTATTTTTTGCTTTTATGCACAAATGCTACAGCAACAGCCTATAAACAGCCATAAACCCAACCGGAAAAAGAAGACCCAAGAAATCACTACTTTAAAATAAGGGCAAGAGGAACACACAGGCAATTACTACGCTGTGTACAGGGCTTCTAAACACAGTGAGCTTGCCAAAATAGGAATAGCTGATCATGGAGATCAAATACTTAACCAAGGCACAATTAAAGAAGCAATGGGACAGAGCATGGCAGAAAAGCGAACGAATATACAGCAAGTAACACCTTTTCGTTTCAGCTAAGTGAGACACATGATAGGATTTCAGGATAAGACCCCCAGGGTATCCCCCACTTGCAAACAGCTCAGATCATAGAGTTTGCTTTGCCCTCAAGATGCTGTCTGTAAAGTCTCTTGAAAGCTGGATTCAAAGGGAAAGAAAGGACCCTGAAGCAGCAGCAAACACAAAATGTCAGTGCAAGCAGGGCCAACCCACTCCTGCAGACAACTCAAGGGACAGAGGTACAGAGTGAGACAATGTGGGAAAACACAGAACAGAAATCAAGACCTTTCCACATCGCCGCTGCTTTTCCTTTGGTCCTTATCCTCTTTCGCCATCAGAAATTTTGGCATCCAGGGTTTGTATTTGTCATCCTTCTCTCTGGGAAAAGGGGAAAGAGCCACAGAGAAATTCCAGTTTTTTCCCAGCAGACCATGTCCCCCCTTCCCAAACCCATGTACCTACAAAGTCATGATTTTTCTCTCTGTCTCCCCCACCATGACCACCACAGAAACGCAAACACTTGCTGTGATTTATACCAGCACGCACTGCTGCCACAATCATCTGGCAGCAAGACATCAAGACATGCTGTTCCTATTAAAAGTAATTTTTCTGACAAGGAACTTGCCAGGACGGGGCTGATTATGAGGTCTGGGAGCTGGAGTTTTCCTTCCTTAGCAAAACTACCTGACTTTTCACATGTTTCAGGGAGCAGCTCTCACTTTTTCACATCTCTGGCGCTGAGTAGGTAACACTGAAGAAACATTCTGTGGGATGCTATTTGCCAAATCAAACACACATGGAGAGGGCACCTGGAATTTCTCCAGAGGGCTGAGTCGCAACCAGCTTCATGACCCTCAGTGGCTTGCAGTACCACAGGCTCCCCAGGGCACAAGTCTGTGCCAAAAGGAACATCTTCTTGCCCAAGACCAGCCTCAGGAATGGACACTGTCCTCACCTTGGCTCCCTCTGCCCCACCTCGACATCATCATACACCATGTCCTCCTGGGAAACAGCCCCTGTCAACCAAAACGCAGCAAAGAAAGTTAATATTAGATGTCATCCTAAGCCAAGTACTCAAAGCCATGTATTGCAGAGGAAAACTGGGCTGCTGCTAGTTGCTCAAACCCAAAGGGACTAAAGCAAAGCAAAAGGAAGATCCCAAAACCTATGGGCTCCAAAACTTATGCCAGAGCAAGACTCCAGTATAAGGCAGGATGCTTGGGTTTGTTAGTTGTCTCTATGGACAATTATCTAGATGGGTTTGGCCACCCAGATCCAATAGGAGCAGCAGCTTCACCCTGTAGTCAGCCCAGGCAGGGTTTCCATCCTGAGCAGTTTCTCAAGCTTGATTAGCAGGACAGGTTTTGTGTCCACCCCCATTTACACAGGCATGAACTTGTCCCTCCACCAGGCAGCAATAAGTAGTTTTACAGGGAGCTGCTGGAGTGCCACTGGCTGCTAAATGCCACTGCATGGACCACTTCACACATTGCCTTCCCAAGTATATATGTATCTACAGGAGGAATGGTCCTCTTCAAGAAGAAAACACTCAAAAATGAGGAAAAAAACCCAGTCTCCAGTGAAGCACAAATCTCTATCAAGTCTTCAACATTAACGCTGCCACATTACATGATTTTCAGAGAGGCACGATGGATTAAGGTTGATTTTCCATTGTGCAATGCATTTACCTCTTCAAACACAAGCACAAAGCCCCAAGAGTCAGATACATATGTTGCTTACCTAAATTTGGTACTGAAATGGAAAACAACCTGTGGATAGAAAGAGGCTTTTAGGAATGAGTCTGCACATCACCATCACCCTAAGTTCATGAGCACCAGCTCTCTGCTGAAGATGTATTTGCTAGAAAGACATCCTTTGCTGAGTAAGCAGCAACTCCATCCTTTGTGTTCATCAAGCAGGTTAGGAGACATCTACGTTGCACCCAAAGAACAATCCAAATCAGCAAAAGGAACCTGCTCCTTCCCACCTCTGCACCCCTTTCCCACAGCTGGAGGGTTGATGGGCAGCTGGTAACTGTAGTCAGTAGTAATTCACACCTTGTAGTCTGCCAATATCATGGGTTGCCCAGGAATTTAAATGTGACAGTAACTGTAGATAACTGAGATGCTTACTGGAGCTTTAAGGGTTCTTTGTGACATGAAACCTGGTGGCTCTTTCCTTGGAAACATATGCAGCAGTAATGCAGGAAGGAGCCACTGACATGGCAGAGCACCTAGTGTGAAAAGGATTTTAAGCAAAACAAACCTTCCTCATTTAAAAGAGGAAAGGATTAATCCAGAATTCCCAAAGAAATAAGAAAAAGTAGCATTTTCCTGGACTTCAGGCACTGTGCGTGAGATGAAGCACATACTGGCAGCAGTGAAGGATGGGTTCTGCAGGCAGCCACTCTGCACGGGAGGAAAAGGCAGTTTCCGTGGAACCTTAACCAGGGTTTTGAACGTTAGAGTACCCAAAAGGGCACTACAGGAAGTTATACAATATCCTCTCTCCTTACTTTTTAGACTAAAGACTCAGTAATAAACCTCTTCAGCAGATGCTGTTGCCAGCTTGACTATAAATGGAATAAGTGCTTGGAATAAGAAACCTCAACCCTTGAGAGCCACAACAGCAAGACTTTGCCTAATCCTGGCCCACAGATCCAGGCAGCAGGTAGCACATTTCTATGTTCCCTTGTGTATTTGCATCATGTTGAGGTATCAGAAAGGTACCAAAGGCAGCAGAAAGCCTGTGAAAGCTTGGACGCTACTGTAGGGCCAGCACCTGTAGATTCCTGATGCCAGAGACTTTGGAGAAGCTGCTCAGATGGACCACTGGCCAACAGAGAATCATGGAATCATAGATTGGTTAGGGTTGGAAGCGACCTTAAAGATCATCTAGTTCCATCTGCCATTGCAGCTTCTGTTGAGTAGATAGAAGCACTTTGGGCATAACTTTCCCAATAAAGCTGTATTTCTTACTCCTAGACCTCCTCCTCTCAAATGATTGCAAATATGAATGCTCAGGATTGGAGGGGGAAGGGGTTGCACAACCAGCATTTTCTTACTTTAAGTTTTCCTTGAACCTGGTACTCTTCAGCTTCAACTTTTCTATCTTAAACAAGTTTCCAAATCTCTTTTGTTTTTTTGTTCTGTCCAAAAGAGAAACAGATTTCAAATTAAAGAGGCACCAAGTGCTGAAGTATGTGAGAGTTGCAATACTTGCTGCTCCAGAGATCTTGAAGCAGATAAAGGCAGGTCAGCAGACTTTAGACCTTAGCTCAGCATTAGGTTTTAAACCTTAACAGCATCATACAGATGAATGACGGATTCAGTGGGATGGGCACCAACAAAGCAAAAGATGCTTAATTATGAAATCCAAGCTCAAACCTTTGCTTAGATTTAAACTTTGCAATTGAAGGTGTTCTCAGACCGAACTACAGAATGGTCCAAGTATATTTGGAGTAAAAATTCCTGACAAAAGGGAGAAAAACTCCCCAGAAGCAGATAGTGACCATTAAAGGAGCACATCAGGACCATTTACCTGTCTCTGCCACCCTTCATCACACATTTCTGCTGTGTATGCTCTTGAGAGGGACCTTTCACTACACGTGCTTCTCTTTGTGGCTTACAGGGGGTTGCACAGCTACAACACAGCAACTTCCTAATGAAGTATCTGCGACCAACCCAGATCCTCACATGGGGGACATTACCCATGTGCAAGTACTGTTCAAAATATTTGATCTGTATCAGCACCCTTAATCCTGCATGTGGCATCAATGGAAAGATTACAGAAAGACTGGTTGGGGGATTGAGACATTGACCTCTGAACCCTGCGAATTTGGTCCCGACCCTAACTTTGTCATGACATTCCCTTGCAAGCTCAGCAAGACGCACTGCTCCTCTGTGAATTAGCAATGGAGTTTAATTTCTGCTACTGTTCAGCACCCATGTGCAGAAAGGTGTAGAAGAGGTGTGGGTACGCTTCCCGATAGGTGGAAGACATACAGGGCTGGTCCGGGAGCCAGATATGGATGCCAGCACACTACTTACTCCCTGTCCAGGGAAGCTCAGGCACCTCCAACACACAAAGCCATGGATAATTTGCAGAGAAATTACTTTGCCTTTTAATAACTGCCCAGTCACCTCCATGCTTTTAGGTTTCTCAACCCTTTTTCCCCTCTCTGACACACACAGGCTCTGCATCCACACAGAAATTAGACTTGAATCCAGATGCAAGCCAGTACGAGCCTCACATCCGTAAGGGAAAAGCAGATGTACAGCAACACCTTATTATTCCTCCCACACCGCTCCTTAGGAAAGAGCCACCAGCTGCATTCGAAGCAATTGCGCGGCATCCCCAGCCCATATGCTGCTCCCAAAGGCAGTCTCTATTTCTTACAAAGGGATGCAGGAAATCTTTTACTGCAGGAGGGTAAGGAACCACACAAAGCTAATAAGTAAAAACACAATGAACTTCACATTTCACCTCTTAATCCATTTGGGAAGCTCAGGCAACCTATAAATCTGAGGCTGCAAAACTCATTGCTTTTATAACACACCCTGTGGAAGCAAGTATCTTGAGAAGCTGAATAAAAAAGAGCAGGTTGCAAGTTAGTTACCGCATGTCAGCCTGGGCTCCTTTCAGCTTTCCAGCCTTCACTGAACTGAAATGTGAGCGTTTTGTCCCTTTTTATGGGGACAAGGTCCCCGTTTGTCCCTTGACACACAAAAAAGATGCCCTTTCTCGGCTACAGCTGAGCAAAACTTTTGATCAAGAGGCAGCCAGCAATACTGTCCTGTGTGTTTTATGCAAGGAGAGTTCTGTAAGGGAAGTGCTTCCAGTGGATGGGGAGTGCTACAAGTTCTAAGAAAAAGGCCTCACTGCTTAGGGATTTCATTCTGGTAACTATTTTTCACTCCCTATAAGTGTCAGCCAAAGGGGAAACAGGGAGGAATAGGAAGAAGAAACCCACCCATACAACAACTCTTCTGCAGTTGCATTAGGAAAAAAAAAGGCCTCCAGCCAGTAACTGGCATGTGAGATCAAGGAAGCATGGTCAGTATTTCAAAACACAGAGTAAGAAATTGCAACTTACTCCACTTTTGCTGGATTATCACTCCCAATCTCAACATCTTCATATGTTTCTTCATAGCTGTTTCCTGAAACTTAAAACCAAGGCATGCCATTATCAGAAACCACGTTCAGCAGCGATGAGGTGAGGCTCACTGGACAAATTGCACCCAGGCTGTAATATTTTACTCTTACAGATGCTTCAAGGTTGCTCAAATTAATTCCATGCAAGACACGTTTATTGCTCCCCACTGGTTTTAATGGGAATTTAGAGCAACCAGGCCAAAAGGAGACGCTGTAGATGTTGAAAGTTAAATGAAACTATCCACATCATCTCCCAGGGACCAGCCCAAATTAAAAGCAGCTCCTGTTTGAGCTTCTCCACGTGCTGCACTTACCGCTGGCTGAAGTGAATGGACGTGAGGCGTCTGACCCATGGCTGCTAGAAGACAGAAATATCACATAGGGATTTGCTACAGCATAGCTTTTAAAAGCCATCTCGTAGACACAGCTATTGCAAAGAGCCCAAGTCCATACTCACAGCCTATCTTGCATTTCTTCAACATCATCATATATATCCTCTGGTGCCTGCAGAGACTGCCAAGTGCTTTGGTCCAATGCTGTTCTTTCTACCCCTGGCTCTGGAGCACCAACATACACATAACGCACTGGAAATGAGAAAGGAGCTTTGCTTTAGAGGCTTTTCTGAGGACCTTGTCACAGGGCAAGGACAGCTGTTGAGGGTAACAGTTGATAGCATGAGAAATAAGAGCTTACAGACATACTTTCTATTCCAGGCGTCCAGGGAAGTCTCTGCTCTGAGCCACTTTGAGATGGACCAGTGAAGAATTTTAAAAGATTTGAAGTTTTAAACATTTAACTTTAAAATATTTTGAAGTACTAAAATACTTTAATAAAAATTAAAATGCCCATCAATATTCTCAACTGTGGCAGCTCTGGCTCAAGTCCTCCTCACCAGAAGACATTCCAAGAGACTGTTTATGAATGTCCAGAGAAGTGATTTAAGGGAGGGCTTAGCATGGTTGGTGGAGATGCTAAGATCCAAATAACAGGCCTCTCCATTGGGAATACACCTATAAATCAACATCTCAGAAATGAAACAAGGAGGGAGAGTCTCCCAGAGATGTATTTCACCAAGAGCTGGAAGCAAGCATGAGAGCTGCACTTCATGAGCTTAGAAAAAAGATTATTACTAGAGGGCTTGGTTAGTGGAAATAGCAAATCCTTAAAACTGATTTAAGGGAGTTGAATGTACATGTAATACAGAAAGGCAGCCACACAAATAGAAGCAAATAGTGTTTGTAATGAACATGGGTGTATGCAGTAGGTCTCACCAGAAACATGCACCACCACAGTATGGTGGAGTTAATGACCAAAGTTTCTGCCGAGCATTCAAACCCTATGAAGAAGAAAAGGATGGGGTGGGGAACCAAACAATTCCCTAATGAAGCAATGGCAGGAGGCTCAGCATGAGCACTTCTAAGGCAGATTCCCAACAGAAATTGCCTCCAGCTGTTCAAAAGTCAAGCAGATTTCATACAAAACCAGACACCAACCATAACAGAAAATTGCTATGAAGTGATTTAAAATAATAATAAATAGTAATAATAAAACAACACCTGAGGACCACACCACCACCAACAGCCACAGTCAATTTACACGTTCTCCTTCATACTCCTGGTCTGTCCACAGAGCCCAATAGAGCTACTTTTCCCTCTTTCATCTTTGAAATGCTGCCATACCATACTAATGGCTTGCAGAGCAGGAGTAAGCCCACGCACACTTAAACCTGAAGTTGCAAAATAGTATTGGCAAAGGAAACATGACTGAGTTTAATTGTGCAACTATGGTGCATATCAGAAGCTCCAGATGCTACCTTAGAGCATTGTGAAAGAAGGAGCCCAAAGAAAAGGCTCACAGGAACTACTAAGAAGATGGAGCAAGAAGCCATCATCCATCTTCATAAGGGACAGGGCGAGACTTCAGGCTCTCATCCTGCTCACGTGTGTTTCTATCACAAGCCTTAGCCAAACCCTTTTCTAAGACTCAATAAATTATGAGGAGCAGAGGAGATGGATTTCAGCTCTCTTGGATAAGGGCAATCTGCTAGAAAAACAAACACCTCGGTTTGAGTTACGCAGATGGTTAACCAACTTAGGAAGCTATTTGCAAAGCCAAAATAAATGATTCAGACCAAAATACAAATGCACATGCAACCTTTTGCCCTGGTTTAACTAAATTGGTTCAAGAGTTGCATCCAAATTTAACATTATTTCCCATATGGAAGAGACATTTGGGCAACAGATGGGACCGAGGATTGAGGAAACACTCAAGAGCGCAATGAGATACTCACAGAGCTCTGCTCTGTCTTTTGCCAGCCCTTTTGGGGTAGGATGCTTTGCAGTCTGGGTACTGGTCACATCCTCCTTCACTTGCAGAGCCTTCATCCCGCTTTCACCATCTTCCTTCGTTCGGTTAGTGGGAGATACATATTCATTTCCACCTGTCTGAGATCAGACATTTGGTTTGGTCAATACAGTCTTTAGAAACAGCTTTCCAGTAGAAATGGGTATAACTTACATATGCATATCTGTAAGAATATAAGTTATCTTTGGACTTGAAACAGTTCCACACCTTTTTCCATCAGGAATTGCTGGTAGACACAGATGCTGTTTGGCAGCACTACCTTTTAGGTAGTCTTTTAGGCAGCAGCAGTTGAGCAAGCAAAAGAGAAGGCAGAAAAACCCAGGTGATTAAGGACCCACATTCCAACTGTTTTCCAAAGGGAGGGAGGATAAAAGGAGAAGAGATATCCCACAGTAGTTATTAAAAGTAATCTCAGGGATACAATACCTTGAAAATTTTCTTTGCTTCCTGTTCCTCTCTTTCAAAATTTGCTTTTCCCTCTTCTTCATCATCTATTGTAGCTCTTCCAGGACTGAGAGTTTGAGAAATGAGAGATATCTCAGAACACAGACACTTTAGTAAAGTCACGGACAAACTGATTGCTTTACGCCTGTGCTCAAATAAGCCGCTCATTTTCCCTTTGAATGAGGTAGGTTACAAAAAGACTGTCTGTACCAAAAGTAAGGACAAATCCAAGTCTAAAGGTTGCTGGTTACCTGGAGTAATAGCAGTCACTTTTGGAAAAGAGACAAAATAAGATGATTGTTTTCTAATAGCAGGAATGGACAAGCTAGATCTATTTGCCAGTGGTGGTACCTGGCTCACGAGCTGTGCCTCTCACCGTACTATATTGTGGCTTCGGAAAGAAGATACAGCAACAGGAGGAAGAACTTGATAGCTTTCTTCCAGCATCACAACATTTCCCACTGAAGGGACCCTGTTTTATCACATGATTCTTCAATTCTCATTGAAAAAACAGCCTTCAGCCAGTGACAGTAATTATACAGCGCAAGGAGTCTGAAACGTGACATTTATAGGGTGAAATTCAGTGTAGACCTTGACTTACTACACAGCTTTGGACCTGGAAGCAGGTGTCCCAGTTTGAGAGCCTCATACCTCATACCTTCTTATACTGAAAGAGTTCAGGTTTCAGTAGGAAAAGATAATGTATTTCCTTGTGTGCCAGAGGAGAGAAGAAAATCTCCCTTCCAGATATGATTTAGAATGAAAACAATCATGAACGCTGACACAGAAGAGCATCATTGTCTACATCGTCCTGGTCACAAAACGTATGATATTTCTTTGTATTTACTGAGAGTTACAGTATTCTAATCCTAACCTGAATTAGTTGTGGGTTTAGAAGAGGCTTGAGAGAAAGGAAAGGAAATTACCTGGATTTGGCAAAGAGAAAAGCCTTCTGTTTCTGAAATAAAGAAGAGGAAAGCCTTCAGTCACTGTGCTTTTCTCAACAGTCAAGCTTTTATACAAGGCTTCAGCTGTCATCTAGTATTTAAAGAAATATTTCTTTAGAAAGCCCAGAAGCATTTTGCATTTGGAATAGTCATCAAACAAGGATATTTCCTCCACTTTGCAGGACAGGAGATACACATATTGACAAGCTATGTAAGGATAATATAACAGTGCAAGCTACCGGTCAGAATGAAAGCAATTACAGGTTGGAGACCTTACAGAAGAGGAGGATTTTTTTTATTAATTAAAGATTTTCCAACCTACCATAAAATAAGACTGCAGCCAAGCCAGAGAACCTCTCTGCAAGTCATGCATAGGTAAGTGCATTTGGAAACCTGTGTTATTTCCTGGACAATGATTGCTTTGCAAGTCAGGGCTTGAAAGTGGAATTTGATGTTTCCCAAAGTGTAGTTTCCCCTCTTACCAGAGCCAGAACTGATACCCAGTACATGATCATCTCCTGACATGAGGTGACCTGTTCTCTTAGCCCAGCTACTCACTGTGAGCTCAGCCATGCAGCCAAGCAGGTCTTCTCTAGGACGACAGCTTTAGCAGTTCCTGCCCTGTGCAATGCACTATCCTGGCTTCATGGCAGGATATCCGCACTGCCATGGTGAACAGCCACCCCTTTCGCAGCCAGAGTAAAATGAAGAGAGTCAAGTTGCAGTTTGCAGCAGAGATAGCCCCAAAACAGGGCATGGAAATCTGAACAGTCGTGCCCACAGCAGTTGCCCTCACTTCTGAGCCAAAACGTGGAGCGTGCTGCCATGACAAGGAACCTGGCACAATTTCGCTTTGATGCCTTCATAGAGGGTTTACCAGCACCAGCCCATCTTTGGCAGGAACCTCCAGAACAATTCAGTGGGTTTTTCCTCCAGGAATTCATGATCTTGATATCAGTGCTTGACACTTACTTGGTCTACCACCAATGTCCAGATGGTGTTACTGCTTCCTTACAACAGAAGTCAAGGGAACTTACTCTCACCCCTGGTGTGTTTGGAAACCTCATTAGTCTTCGTGTCCCCTCTGCAGCTTCTTGTTTATGTTATGAGAGTCTTCACAGACAACACACACAAATACTCAGCAGGCAATAAATGCCGCTATTAAAAGGTTTTAGGACAGGAAAACATGGTGTGTATGGCACTGTCAAGACTGAGAGATCAAAACTGGCTGTGATGAGAATTCTTACCTTGAGTTCTTGAGGTTCTGCCTTAGGTACTAGAAAAGAAATTTGTGAATACGTATTACTTTTTAGACCATGTTAAAGTCACCACACTTTCAGTTGCAAAACCCAACTTCAGCTTGCACACTCAGCATCCAGGCATACGTGCACTATGGCACATTCACCACGTCCTACAGGCCAGCATCCTTCAATGTGTTATTTAGCACTGGCTTACATTCACAGGACTGTAGCACTGAGCTTGACTTGCCACAGGTTTCATAGTCCAAGGAGCAAACCCAAGAAGGATGTAGCAAGTACCCCCAAGGAAGTTGCTTGGCTCCTGATCCCATAGGAGAGAAAACCAATGCACATGGCAGAAACAAACCTCCCCCAAAAAGCAGAAGTAGAGCAGTGGCAACTCTGATTGATAGAGAAAATTATACTGGGAAGAAGTACTGCTCTGTCTCTGTACCCGTGCCCAAGAAGATGCTGAGGTTTGCCTCACTGTCTTCTTTTATTTCTCTTCTACATCCGTAGCATCTCCTGACTTTTCCCCACTGCAGCTTTACTGCAGCATTTCACCACCAAAATGCTAACATCTGTGCCCCAATGTCCTCACACATAGCCAGTGCAAAGAGAGACAGTACAGGCAGTCATATTTGGTCACCTGGACCGGTGTGCATCTGCTTTTCTCAACTGTGTTATTTCCTTTCTCAAAGGCTCTATCCCAGATAGCACATAATTCACTTAGGAATGAATCAGGCTTTTCAAAGTACCTTCAATGACACACAAGGTTGTGGTGTCCCCAGACTGATTCAGGTACATTGGCGTTTCTTCATAATTATGCTGCTCTTCAAGTTGAGCACTGAGAAGATGAAAGAAAAGAGAAAAGAGACTTTTTTTTTTTCTGGCCCTTTTAGAAGTTTGGGGGAAAAAAAATCATCTTAACAACAAGGAATTCAAGTGTTTTGATACTGAGCCTACAAGAAAGCAAAGTGAAATCGGGAATTCCTCGGAGGAAGACCTGTGCCACTGCTTTTCCTTTGGGAGGCCAGGTTGTGCTTACAGGACTCAAAGCACATCAGGGCACTTCATACTGGGATTATGGTCTTCTGCCTACAGCAATCCCTCAAAAGTAGAAAGAGAACAATAAAAATCCAAGGAAATCAAAGTGTAGCATTTTTCAAGCCTACTACAGCTACTTTAAAATGAAAAACAACCCAGTTGCACTGTTTGGCATGCTATTTCTCAATTAAGGAAACAGGAAGGGGAAAGCAGAGGTATCAGAGGGTAGGTTTAAACATCCTGCTCCCAAGTTCAACAAGCTACATGCTCCATGCTGACACAGCATGTGGGATATACCAGCCGCATCTCAGCCCCAGCACCACAAAGCCTCAAGTATTGAACTTCCCAACCCAGCCTCCACCTCCTCATTCTCCTTTTTCCTTTCTTTCTCTGGAAATTTAAATTAGCATCATTTGGGAATAGGTGCAGGGAGAAATCCAAGCCTTCCCACATTACCCAGGCAAATCCCAGAGGCTTCTTCCCCTGTGCCCCCTGCAGCAGAGGTTTAGGCACCTCAGGAGCGTACTAAGAAGTGGCAAATGCACATAATACAGCTTGTAACACACGCAGAGGACAGGGTAGGGTGGTGAAAGAGTACCAGGAAAAGCTATAGTGAGAACTTCCATCTTTTAACAGTAAGTCTATTATAAACCTCAGGGAGGGTTTGGTTTTCCTTGAATCACCCTAAACTATCACAATTCATCTTCAGCAGAGTAAGGACTAAGTAGTTGTTGCAAAACAGAGCATGAGGAACAAGAAACTCAAATTGCATGTTAAAGTAAAGTAATCAAAGTAAGAAAGGGCACCTAAAGTCAGTCAGAAGCTTGTGCTAATACCAAAGGCTGCCCTAGTCCCTGTTCTGAGGCCCCTAGCACTGGGGGCAGTGCCTCCAGCTTGCTGGTCCCACAGCTGTTCTGGACATGTCTCCCACTGAAGGGGACACACATATACATACAGGTATTTTGTCCCTGGTACCATCACTTGAGGAAATGGAGGCCAGGAAAACCCCTGACCTTTCACTTCCCCAGCCCAACCCCTGGATAAAACAGCATCCTGGGAGTTCGGCTGGACTCCAGACAGCCCTTTATATACACCACAGTGCTACACCAGACCTGAAATACAACTGGGTTGATGGATCCCTGACTAGCACCAGTGAAAGCAGAGTGTTTATCCCCAAACAAGGAATCAGAGCTCCAGATTGGTTGGCCCAAGCAACTGTGTCAGGGTCTCTAAGAGACCAGACTTTATTACAGGTGCGCCTTAGAGGAGGGGAATTTCTGCCTTTCCAACCCCATGATTTCACTTTTATGCTGGAATTCATTGAATTCATTTCCCCAGTTACACCTGATTAATATTTAACAGGTAACCTATTGCCAAGACCATATCAGAAATACTAGCGTAAGACAGCTAATCTTGCTGCAATCTATTGCTAAGACAGCTTCCTTGTGGTGCATGACAGCTTTGGAGCTGGTTATTTTTTGACCACTTTTCTTCCGACAAGCACAGGTTAAAAGTTAAACGAAACACCAGCCAACACCGGCAGGAACACCTCATGATGTGAAAAGCACAACTTGCTATGTCAATAGCTGCAAGAGTTCATTGTTTGGGAACAGAAAGTATTTTGAGTATTCGGCTCTTTTTGCCTTGGATAAGCCATTCTGTTTCCCTTTTTTCACAGCTGTATATTCAGGCAGATAAGACAAAACACATATATGACTATTTTCCGACACTTCAGCTGTTCTTGTGGCAAAGAACCAGCACCACTAACAACCACTCATGACAACTCAGAGACATAGCAGGAAAAATCCCCTTGTATACAAAGGCAATGGTGTCTGTGAGATTTTGAGCCATTTTGGACACTTATGGTATCAGAAGCTGCACCGGTCGGCTTGTGACCTCTGTTGACTTTGGACCACCACTCCCTAAAAACCTCATTTCCACGTGGAGACAGATGAAGCCCTGGCGATGGGGAGGGGGGGCAAAGGCTCCTGTACTCTGGCGTTCTGGCTGCACAAACATAGAGTCACAGAATAGTTAGAGTTGGAAAGGACCTTAAGGTATCTATGCAGGAGGGCAAGCTCTTCTGCTGCTGGCAACAACAAACCCCTAACACCAGCTGGTTACCCCAGGGCTTTGTTTCACAACAGTTCTCAAAAGCATCTCTTTTATAAAACACCACTTGAGTACATGGAAAACAGGAAGCAAAAAACACGGGTGCTGAGTGATCTCTGCAGCCAAAGCACTGGCAGTGTTTTCCCTCTGGCCGGCTGAACCAGACCTAATGACACACAGGTAGGATTCTCCACACTGCTCAAAGAACCCAGAGGAGAAAACAGGGATGAAGCTTTCTACTTTAGGAGAAGGTCATCCCAGCAAGTCGCTGCCTTTGGGAGTGGGATGTTCCCTCCAGACTACATAGGGATCATTCAGCATCATGGGATGGAGATGCCTTCATCACTTATGAGCCACACGTTGCCTCACTACACACTCACCTTTCAGGGGTCAAGTAATCCTCTTCATCAGCAGCTGCACACAAACACACAGAGGATTAGTATTTGAAGGCAAGACCACTGTCTGCACACAAAGAAAGGTGTGAAATAAGATTGCCAGCAGAAAGTGGGGATGTGGCTATGTTAACACAACATTATTTCATGTTTCCAGGCAACAACCTCAGGCTTTCTAGAGTTCTATAATTGAGCAATATTGAGAGGGCACGGAGATGATAACATCTAAATGTAAATAGTTCCTTCCACCAAATTAATATGTTTAGAAGCATTAATATAGTTAGAAGCAATGAGGTTAGAAAAGAGCTTCAGTGAAAACCTCTCTTTCCCTCTTATTCTTATCAAGGCCAGGGCAGAACAATAAGCACTGGCACAGTAAAGCCAAAGAGAGTTTAGCAGAGCACTTCTTAGAAAAGCAGCCTAAAGATCTGGCTATAATTAAGTCTGTATCTATAAAGAAACACCATTTAGCTGCTTAATAAGTAGTCCAGAATATTCTATTATGCAACATCAATAGGGTTTTATTATGGGAAACTGAACTTTTGCGATTCTTGATGTTGGAACATTTAACAACATTGCATTCTGTTGTATTTAAAACAGAAGGGGGGGGATTAGCAGACCAGTTTCTACCGATTTTATTGTGCCTTCCCACAGTTGTGTGCTTCAGAGTGAAGGCATTTCCCATTGAAGAGGAGTGATAAAGATCAGCTTGCCTCAGAGGCAGCTGCTGCTGCTTTACAGCCAGCTGTAAACCACTCACAACACGCTGCAGCTGGGAGGAAGGCTGGTTTCTGCATGGGGGATAACGGCCAACCTGGAAAACCAGATCCCTTTTCCAGATTAAGAGCAAAAATCAGCCTCCCTGAAGCTGCCGAGCACTTCTTGATGTTTGAGAAAGACGTTAGAAACAAGTAACAACACCTTATTTCTGTGCACTTGGAATCGTGGCCCTATGGATGTCAATAAACTGCAGATTATGATTCATTTTGTACAGAAGAGGTCTGGGGAGAAAGACTAGAAATCTCTTACTTGTTTCATTTCCTCTGTGGACCAAAGGCACGGCGCTTCGGAAAGCACTGAGATCAAACTCCGGGGGTCTTGCAGGCTTCACAGGGGCAGGACCAAGGGATTCAGCTGAAGGGAGAGGTTTAATTCTTGGCCACTCACTCTGTGGGGTGTGAGACCGTTTTCCTGCTCTGGCCTGGCAGAACGCAGGCTTGGATTCTGCTCCAGAGAAACACAAGGACAGGCAGCAATTAGCCCTCATTTGAACAAAAATCCATAGAGGATCATTAGTTATTATACAGACATTTCTACCCAGCTCTATTTCCTCCCAGTTTCGGTGTCCCCATCACACAGCAAGGCTCCAACCATGTTACCAGGATGGCAAAGTAAATGGCAATGTCCATTTTTACAGTTAACCATGTTGGGGCCTCAGCTCTCGACAGCTCCCTTCCTCTGGATTATAAAATACTCGCCTCGTTTTCTGTACCGATAACAGTTTAATCTGCCAGCATTTAGTGGCATAGCTGTTTTCAATACACAGCCCAAGAGAGGTAGCTTTCCAGGGTAAACAAAGGCTTAATCTTTTCAGTGCCTCGTCACTTGGTGTGACGTTAGCAAGGGGAACTTCACGGCATTTGAGTTTCCTAGCACCCGTTTCTGTATGAAATATCGCAAGGAGAATATGCCCTCCGAGCTCAAACATGACCTTCTGCAAAGCTGGGAGGGTTGCAGAGGGGGGAGATCAGGTTTAGGCCATTTTAATTCAAACTGAAGTGTCTTTGCAGAAAAGCCAAGCCTTTATATGTCTGTGTGCAAACCGAATAGCGGGGTGTAGCCACATTTACCTTGTGATTGTGAAAGGCCAAAGCAGACCAAAACCAAAGATACTCCCCTGTCCTCACTCTTCATCCTACTCTCAAAATGTGGACAATGCCTTTAACTGTATATATCATAGAAGGATAGAATGGTTTGGGTTGGAAGGTACCTGAAAAGTCATCTAGTTTCAACCCCCTGCCATGGGCTGGGACACGGAGTATAGCTTACTATACCTTTCTGGTGCTGAGGCTGCTCTCTCGATGCACAATAACCCTGCTGGCAGAATGCAGTTGCCACTGCAGTCTCAGTATCTGCTTCTTCAGAGGTCCTGTGTTTCCTGGGAGCCTGAGGAAGAGCCTGCCCACTGCTGAGCAGAGCATCCTTCTTCTTCTGGGCCAGCAAGTCCAGCACTGGCTTGCTTCGAGAAGGTCGTATCCTACTACTGCTTGTCTCAGCAGGAGCATGCGTTGCCCTCTGCTCCGGGTGAGGGTGCACATACAAGTTCGACGCCCGTTGGGTTGGGAGCATTGCATTTGCTTTCTCATTGTGGGATAAGGCGTTTTCCCAAATCTGTAGGGCATGGTGGAAAGAGTTTGGGAACGAAGGGCTCTCTGGAGCTGTTTTGGCTGATCCTTGCTGGTCAGTGCAACAGGATGGCAGAGGCTTCCCTGGATCACTCTTGGGAGAACTCAGCCCTTTCTCTGTGATGTTGCCTTTATGCTCCTCATTGTGCCCTGCTGGCTTCATGTAACCCAGCTTGGCTCGAGGCCATACCAAGGGGTTGCTTTGGGTGAGCGCAGAGGGTAGGGAGGCAGCTTCATCCTTAGGGTATAGTATTACCTCTTTGCTCTTACTCCGGGGCAGAGGGCTGGGCACAGCGTTCCCTGCAGAGCCCGGCTTGGGTGCAGCCTCAGGGGGAGGCTTCTTGCGTGGCTGCACCAGCTTGGGGGCCACGTTGGAGTCACTCTGAAATTTTGCTCGGAGGGCTCTGAAATCGCTCACGCCTTCCTGGGTGGGGGGAGAGAGGAGAGCACAAAACATCTGCTTTCGGAGGTGCAACGGGCAATTTATATGATCATGATTGGAGCATTGTGTGCAATTCTGGTGTCCTCAACATAAAAAAGGACACAGAACTGTTGGAACAAGGCCAGAGGAGGCCACGAGGATGATCAGGGGACTGGAGCACCTCCTGTATGAAGATAGGCTGAGGAAGTTGGGGCTGTTCAGCCTGGAGAAGGCTGCGTGGAGACCTCATAGCAGCCTTCCAGTATCTGAAGGGGGCCTATAGGGATGCTGGGGAGGGACTCTTCATTAGGGACTGTAGTGACAGGACAAGGGGTAATGGGTTCAGACTTAAACAGGGGAAGTTTAGATTGGATATAAGGAAGAAATTATTTACTGTAAGGGTGGTGAGGCACTGGAATGGGTTGCCCAGGGAAGTTGTGAATGCTCCATCCCTGGCAGTGTTCAAGGCCAGGTTGGACAGAGCCTTGGGTGAGATGGTTTAGTGTGAGGTGTCCCTGCCCATGGCAGGGGGGTTGGAACTGGATGATCTTAAGGTCCTTTCCAACCCAAACCATTCTATGATTCTAACATCATTTCAGAGGGAAAGAGGTCACAGACTCCACCCTGGTCACCAAGGATGTGTCAAGCATATAGTGAGAAACTAAAAGCAGGAGAGGAGAATTAGCTCATTCAAAGGATGCTCCAAACACTCCCAAATCACTTCTGTAAAGACAACAGAGCTGAGACAGGGGGAAACACAGGAGCAGAGCATGGAAACACAGCCAAGCAGAGCCAGTGGGACCAGGTGGAAACGGTTTCTGCCCCCTCAGTATCACCCAGTGTTGGAGAATCTCCCTCCAGAGGACTCGGCAAACACAAAAATGAACGTTAGGTCTTCCTGGCAGAGGCTCTGTGCTACCACTTATGCACCTACTGGGTAGGAAAGCTGCTCCTTATTTTCAGTACACAAGCACAAGCCAGGGGAGAGGCCAGTGGAGATCCCCAGTCCATCCCCTGCTTCCCTTAGAAAGCTCCGCCACAGGAAATGAAGTACAAACATCCTCCTTGGCAGGTTCTAAATGATCCCTGGGGCACAATCCTCCTCCACTGTGCTAGTTTAGCTCAGATCCCTAGAACCTTTTGGATGCCTCTCCTCTTGCTGTTATTCCCTCTCACTCCCAGGAAGCAAAGGACATACAACCCAAACATGTGCCACACAAGGACAGCAAGAGCATCTCTCAGTTCAGGTGATGAATACTCAATGCAGGCTGAGATACTCAATTCCTCTCTAACACAGTTACCAGACCCCATATGATTTTGAACAAAGAGAGCTAATAGGTGACAGCACAGTTTAAAAGGGCACTTAACATTTTGTTTCAAGCCTTTGTCCCCAGGTATCTCCCTGTCCCATGCTGGAGAAAGGGGACCACAATGTTTACCTGCAACATCGAGGCTTCAATTCAACCCTGGCCTGAACTACAGAGAAAATATGAAGAGAAATTTATGAGCTACTTAAGTCCTTGAACTGCTCTATAACATTTTATATGCCGTGATTACATTAGGTGCACTACTCTGGCAGTTTGGTTCAGTGCGGAGAACTGAAAGGCTTCACGAGAACCCCTCTAATGAGGAAATTGGAAAAAATTATCTAGGACAGAACTTCGTTATTCTGAAAAAAGCCCCAGCCTTAAGTGTTAAGGCAGAGCAGATGAATAGCGCACTGAGGGTTTATTGCATTTAATTGCACAATTTATTAAACACTGACAATTTCTCTTGAATAACCCCTTTCACTGGCTTTATTACTTTCACAGGGTAGTGCATGATGTAAAGAACCAACCCTTGGGGGAGAGGGTTGAATTGCTCCAATTATATTTCATATTAGTGGTCAGCAGCGTGATGCTGGGTAAGCTGCCCAGACAGCCTAATCTAGCGGCGAGCCGGTGGGAATGGGAGATTTCAGAAGCACACGGAGGATCAATCAGATTTGGGAGGAAAAAAATAATCCCCCATGTACCCGATCCCTCCAGGATTGCCAGACAGGACATAAAGCAGCGAGGTGCCCTAATGCAATCGCACCGAGCTTGCACACGTGCTGCAGCTACAGTTGAAGGGTTCAGTGCTGTTTACCTCTCCATAGTGATTTTCTTTACTGTAATGCATAGCTCCTCATCAGTGTCCTCAGAGAGGAGAAAAAACAGACCTGCATGTCTCACTGTGCCACAGGTGAGGAGGATTCATGCAAAACAGGGGTTTCAGCCTGGCAGTGCTGTGACAGAAACAGCTGTGGTAGTCGCTAGCTTGGCATTACCTTTAATTAAAGCGGGATGGATACAAGCCTCCTGTTCTCCCCCTTCCCTCAAGTTGCTATTCCTCTTGCCTTGAAATGGCAGCTTCAAATGATTTGCCTAATTAACTGGAAGATTATCTGTGCTTAACGCACTCTCCTTGCCCTTCACTACAATATAGCTTCCCCCAGTTTGCCGCATGCTGGGGTATTCACACTGACAGCATGCACAGACCCAGCACAGGAGGGACACGTACGGTCCCCGGCCAAGCACAATGAACTGCCTGGGAGGATGGGGTTTAATTGCACCCCACGGCCACCTCCTGCACACCCACACCCAGCCTGATGCTCTCTCCCTCTCCACAAAGCTCCTGCTACTGCTTCCAGGCACTGGGCTGAGCTTAGTGTGATCCTCTGAGGTGCAATGAGTTCTCCTGGTCTCTGCAGGGATAGTTTTCCATCAAAGCCAGGACCATTTCAAACCTCAGACCCACCCAAGCAACTCTTCAGCTTGACCCACACACCTCAAGCTAACACAGGGAGATGTTCAGCCTAAACATGGTGCCAAGCAGGTCGCATGTAGATAGGACACATGTGAAGTCCAGGGAGGGTTCAGCACAGCAGGGAGACAATTAGACCAGTTGACAAGTGAGGAGAATGCACTAATACATTTAAAGGACTGCCAAAAGCTCACAATGTGCATTACAGCTACATCTGGCCAAATAATTCGCTGTGAATAATAACACATTTGGCAAAAGCCCATGCAAGATGAGAGAGGGAGAGAATAAAAAGGAAACAAACTTCCACTGGCCGGAAAGCTGTGAGCATCACAGAGCCAGGGGACAGCTAAACTCTCCATATTTTCTCCCTATAAATAAAATAGTTCTTCTAACATTAATATCATTCTAGGAAGCAGAATAAAGCTCATCTTAAGCCTATGATAAGCATACCTTTTAGAAAGAGCAGCAGCTGGAGGTCTGTGCTGTTATTAAGGACTAACTAAAAGGAATTTTCATTCTCATTAGTTCTCTGCAATTGATTTCCTACAATGAAATCAACACCGGAAGAAAAACCCAGTTCAAGACGTGGCATGCAGGACAGCCAAGAGGAAGCACTGCATGTTCCCCTCCTGATTTTTTTCTGGCTTAATCCCTTCTTTATCTTGATTTCCAAGGGAGGTCCTGTGGGTAAATGTTTAATCAGCACTGCCCACAGCAGGGCGGCTGGAGCTGGGCCCAGGACCCCGAGCACACTGACGAGAGCACAGCACAGATACCATCTTCTCATAAACCAGAGGAAAACATCAAATCCACCTCTACTTTTTGTTAAATTAAAAGACAGAAACCGCAGTTGATCTCAGAGCAAGAGGGGGGAAGAAGACAGGCAGTGGGAGCCCCTGCTTTGGGTCAGGAAAGCTGCTGGTTTGTGGTCCCCATGCAGCGCAGAAGCAGCAGTGAGAGCACACACCTAAAGTCCCGGCTTAAACTGCACTTGGTGGAGAGAACAGCCCCAAGCTACAAAGCACCAGCACCCGCTCCGGGGGAGAGGATGCAGTGAGGGTGAAGGGCAGCGGCGCCCCTGCAGTTACCGCATCCATCCCTGCGCTGCAGGAGCCTGGCAGCCGCTATCGGTGCCCGTGTCCCGGCTCCCGTCGCCGCTCCCAGCGCCGCGTCCGTCCCCGCCGCCGCCGCCGCACTGGGCGAGGCGGGGCAAGCCCGATAACACACCTGGGCCAGGGCCGGGTCTGCCCCCGGGGCGGGGAGAGCTGCCCGCCCGCGCTGATCTCCGGATCCCTGAGCCAACGGCGGGCAGGCTTTGGGATGGGATCAGAAAGGGGAGAACCGGGCTTGGTTTGATGCTGAGGGGGGGGAGAACGGTTCTTGCCCTCATCATGTTAGGCAGCCAACAGCATCCTGGCTTGTATCAGCAGCAGTGTGGCCAGCAGGACTGGGGAAGTAATAATCCACCTGTACTGGGCACTTGTGAGGATGCATCTTGAATAGTGGGTTAGGTTTTGTGTCCCTCATTACAAGAGGGATACTGAGGTACTGGATTGGGTCGAGAGAATGGCAGTGAAGCTGGTGAAGGAGCACAAGTGTAATGAGGAGTTTGAGGGAACCTGGGTGGGGGGGTTAGTCTGGAGAAGAGAAGGCTCTGGGGGACCTCATCACTCTCTACAACTGCCCGACAGGAGGATGGAGCCAGGAGGTGCATAGTCCCTTCTTCCAAGTAACAAGCAATAGGACAAGAGGAAACAGCCTCAAGCTGCACTAGGGAAGGTTTAGACTGGAGATTAGGACAATATCTTCACCAAGAGGGTGCCCAGGCATTGAAACAGGCTGCCCAGGGTAGTGCTGGAGTCACCGTCCTGGAAATGTCCAAAAACGGTGTAGATGAGGCCCTCAGTGATGTGGTTTAGTGGTGGCCTTGGCAGTCCTAGGGTATGAGTTTGACTTGATGATCTTAAAGGTGTTTTCCAACCTAGTTGATTCTACGATTCTATGATCATGGGTGGCCATGTCTGTGGCAGTTCTCAGGTCCCCTCTCACGCCTGAGGCAAGCACAGCTCACACCCACCCCACTGCATCAGCCAAACACACACCAGGCTCTTCCCAAGCAGAACCCAGAGACCTCAGAGTGATTAAAACAGACGTTTCCCTGAAGGAGCCAAATGTTTTCTTCATCTCAGCACAGCAGAGCCCAGCAAAAGGAGTCATCCTCTCTGAAACCCACACATATTCCCTGGTGAAGCAGCTCCTTTTCAGGCTGAGCTGTTTCCCAGAGTCCTAAGGACAGACCAGTTGAATTAGGGCAAACAAGACTTTTCCCATCACTGGATATTTCTGCCCTGGAGAACACTGTCCGAACGCTGAGCCCATGTTTGTACAGAGCATGTCTCCCAGCTAAAGGAAGCCAAGTTTGCTTGGCAAGAAGAGAACTGAGAGCCCCAAGACTTGCTTTTTGCTTCCACAACTGATCAGATATTATTTCATCTTTCTCTGCGGGAGAGCTGGCTGTTTTCCTTCCAGCAGAGACAACTGCTGCATGGAGCCCCGGTGCTGAGTGGTATTCAGAGGGGGATGTTGATAGAGCTTGGGTGGGGAGGAAGCCATTGGCAGCCTGAGCAGCAGTCACCCATCACCAGCAGACCCTAATCCCACATAATAGGACATGACATCTCTCATATTTCTATATCTATATTTACATCTGTATCTATAAAGATATATAGCAGCCTTCCAGTATCTGAAGGGGGCCTATAAGGATGCTGGGGAGGGACTCTTCATTAGGGACTGTAGTGACAGGACAAGGGGTAACGGGTTAAAACTTAAACAGGGGAAGTTTAGATTGGATATAAGGAATAAGTTCTTTACCGTAAGGGTGGTGAGGCACTGGAATGGGTTGCCCAGGGAAGCTGTGAATGCTCCATCCCTGGCAGTGTGCAAGGTCAGGTTGGACAAAGCCTTGGGTGAGATGGTTTAGTGTGAGGTGTCCCTGCCCATGGCAGGGGGGTTGGAACTAGATGATCTTAAGGTCCTTTCCAACCCTAACTATTCTATGATTCTATATCTATATCTATATCTGTTTTCCAAAGAGCTGCCTGGAAAAGAAACTCTGCAGCAATAGCAGGCCTTAAATTTAGGGGGAAAAGGGACTTGTAAAGCATGTCTGTGATGTGTAGGATCTGATGTGTTTATGATCGTGTGTAGGATCTGATGCACATATGATTGTCTGAAGGTGATTTCTCTCCATGATTTGAAGGTAATGGCTGCGATACCTGAGTCATGGACGGACATTCCCTCTCTGCACATGGGTATGGAGGAAAGCCTTGCCTCAAGCATCCCTAATGCCTTCAGAATGGGACCAATGCCCTCGCAGCCTAACCTGACCCCGCTTTCCAGAGCCAAGCTTGGGGAGAGCTGAATAAAAGGGAAAAGAAACTTGGGGAGGGGAGGAACCCAATTAATTTGTTGGCGACATGACTCGAAGCACCAGTCTCGTTCCTCACCACATGAAAAGCCCTGCTGCTGTGTGGGGGTCTTGGAGAAGAAAGCGGGGTCCTGCTGAGCTGAGAGTTGGCAGGGAAGTCCCCAAAGTCAGGGCTGGAGTTGTGGCGTGATGAAAATGAATGCCAGCTTTGTGTACAGGTAGCTGGGGAGGATTTATGACCCGCCCAGTGGTATGAACACAGGCCGTGAATTAAAGCACTGTTGGAGAATCAGGAGGTTGTGACTTCAGAGCCGTGTCCTGGGGAAAAGGACGGGGCAGATTTCTCCATCCGGGCTCTAAAAACAAACAGAAAAATGCCAAAGGTTTCTTTAAGACATGCATTTTGTGCGTGCTAGCCCTGGTGGGAGCCCGCTTGCCTCACCTCTCTTTGCCAGCAGCCCCAGGGCTGCCATAAATCGCACCGGGCTCTAATAACTGCAGCGGGAGCCCAGCGTAGCCGTGGTGTTGTGTAGATCAAACACCACAGAAGTGGAAGCCGGCTTTTTTCCTCTGGCTCTGGACCTTCCTGGGGAATGCCTGACGGTAAAAGTGCTGGCGCTGCTCTATGTAAGTCACCTTTTAATGGGCCATATGGCACAATTTCCTTAGAGAACCTAGACGGACATGTCAGGAGATGACAAAACCAGGACCTAATGCCCTTTCCGACACGCCAGGCAGGTAATGCCTTGGATAGCCCTTCCCCTCCTGCCCCACCTCTGCCCACAGTGCTGGTGCCTCCCATCGGTCCCCACCAAGACGCAAATTGCCATGAATGATGATGCCCCTGTAAAACACAATGACCACCTTGTCCACCGCCTGTTACAGGCAGCAGTTTGGAGCAGGAGCTCAGCGTTTGGGCTAGGTTTGTGTATCAAAGGCACTGACCCAGAACAGGCATTCCCAGGCACAACCCTAACTGGGATAAAACCAAACACCACTGCTGAGAGCAACAGCACAAAACACTTCCTAAGCATGCAAAACCTCCCAGAACAAACAATTTCAGCCTGTTTAAAAATGTAAAATCTTATGATGTGGATTGGGTTCTTTTTTGCAGTGGTGCAGTTAGTATCTTCTATAGATACAGCAAGTCCAAGGGCTGCAAGCATGGCATTCAGCAGACCTTTTGTCCCTGCGTTATTCATTTCAGTTACTTAGCGACTGGTGGGATTTGTTATATGTTATATTATATAGATTTGGGATAGTTTTGTGTGATTTTAAATTTCAAAGAGCTGCTACAAGAGACCAGAAGCGACAGCAGATCTTAGGAACAGAATCATAGAATCAAAGAATGGTTTGGGTTCGAAAGGACCTTAAAGATCATCTAGTTCCAACCCCCCTGCCATATGGCTTATTTATGATATGGTTTATTTAGGAATATGATTTATCCCTGATATTTCAGGCTTTTAGGAAGGCAGGACATTGTGACTTGTGAAGACCAGGGAAATTTTGGGGCAATCCAAAGTCTTCTTTGGATGACAACTGAATTCAGGTATTGCCCATCACATAATTGGTGATGACGTTAGCCCAGTGTCGTAATATTATGGATCGAGGATGGTCTGAGGAGTGATTTTTCCTTGTCACAGCACTGTCCCTGCACGTGGGACAGCACTGTGTGAAGGAGATGGGAGGTAAATAGCTGCTCCTGGACCCGATACAGTGGGGTCTGTATATCTGAGAAAACACCTCGGAACCCATAAAAATGGACAAAAGCAGAGAGGAGAGCACAACCTTGTGCTAGGGGGGATTACAGCTCAGGTTTTATGCTGTATTCTGGCCCCAGGAGGGCCAGAGCAGTCACTCCAGCCTGCTTCCCTGCGCATCTCATCCTTTTTCTGCCAGGAGGTCATATCGTGGTTTTCCAGCAGAGGGGGAGATAGGATCACTTGTTCCACCGTCGAGCCGCTTGCTCCGTCTTGCATCACTTGCATTAATAAGAACTATGAGAAAATGCAGTACTATTGATCCCTGCATTCAAAAAGCTAACGCTCCCTTTTACTGGCAGGGAGAAACTGGTGTTTAGGAGGAGCCAGTGTAGGTACCAATGTGGTTCCTTCAGGAGCTTTAAGATCAGCACCATTGAAGCACTGTGGCAGTTAAGAAAATGAATTTAAAAGCCTTGCACCGTGTCAGGTTTTTTATCTGTCTAAACTACAAGGCTGTCTCTGCAGTATGGCCTTGATCCCACACTTAAGGGCATACTTCTTTCTTAGCAATATAGCCCATAGAGTCGCTTGTGTGTTAAAGGCTGCTTATACTGTAGAAGGCATGTTACCCGACCAGCTCAGTGTTCAGTGACACCAAATGAGGACTGGTACATCCAGCACTAAAGCTGTGCTTATAGAATCATAGAACCATGGAATAGTTAGGGTTGGAAAGGACCTTAAGACCATCCAGTTCCAACCCCCCTGCCACGGACAGGAACACCTCCCACTAAACCATATCAGCCAAGGTTCTGTCTAACCTGGCCTTGAACACTGCCGGGGATGGAGCATTCATAACTTCTTCTGGTCCTTAGGTGGACCTTTTTCACTCCTCTCTGCACTCACTGGGGTCAGTAACAGACACATGCCCAACACGCATAAATGACACATAGTTTTGTTGGTCCTTACGAGGCACGATCTCACTGTGAGCACTCAATAGCCAGAGAATTTAAGCTGGGGATGAAAACCAGATAAACCTCAGGAAGCTGTGGCTGCCCCATCCCTGGCAGTGCTCAAGGAG